GTAGTCAGTAGATGTAGTGATTTAGATATATAGTGTAGTCAGTAGATATAGTGATTTAGATATATAGTGTAATCAGTTGATAAAAGTGATTTAAATATATAGTGTAATCAGAACATATAGTGATATAAATACATAGTGTAGTCAGTAGATATAGTAATTTAGTTATATAGTGTAATCAGTAGATATAGCGATTTAGATATATAGTGTAATCAGTAGATATAGTGATTTAGATATATAGCGTAGTCAGTAGATATAGTGATTTAGATGTATAGTGTAGTCAGTAGTTATAGTGATTTAGTTAAATAGTGCAATCAGTAGATATAGTGATTTGTATTTATAGCGTAATCAGTAGATATAGTGATTTAGATATATAGTGTAATCAGTGGATATGGTGATTTAGATATATAGTGTAGTCAGTAGATATAGTGATTTAGATATATCGTGTAGTCAGTAGATATAGTGATTTAGATATATCGTGTAATCAGTTGATATAGTGATTTAGATATATAGTGTAATCAGTAGATATAGTGATTTAGATGTATAGTGTAGTCAGTAGTTATAGTGATTTAGTTAGATAGTGTAGTCAGTAGATATAGTGATGTAGATATATAGTGTATTCAGTATATATAGTGATTTAGATATATAGTGTAATCAGTAGATATAGTGATTTAGATATATAGTGTAGTCAGTAGATATAGTGATATAGATATATAATGTAGTCAGTAAATATAGTGATTGAGATATATAGTGTAATTAGTAGATATAGTGATTTAGATGCATACTGTAATCAGTTGATATAGTGATTTAGATATATAGTGTAATCAGTAGATATAGTGATTTAGATATATAGTGTAATCAGTAGATATAGTGATTTAGATTTATAGTGTAATCAGTAGATATAGTTATTTAGATATATAGTGTAATCAGTAGATATAGTGATTTAGATGCATAGTGTAATCAGTTGATATAGTGATTTAGATTTATAGTGTAGTCAGTAGATATAGTGATGTAGATATATAGTGTAGTCAGTAGATATTGTGATTTAGATATATAGTGTAGTCAGTAGATATAGTGATTTAGATATATAGTGTAGTCAGAAGATATAGTGATTTAGATATATAGTGCAATCAGTAGATATAGTGATTTAGATATATAGTGTAATCAGTAGATATAGTGATATAGATACATAGTGTAGTCAGTAGATATAGTAATTTAGATATATACTGTAATCAGTAGATATAGCGATTTAGATGTATAGTGTAATCAGTAGATATAGTGATTTAGATATATAGCGTAGTCAGTAGATATAGTGATTTAGATGTATAGTGTAGTCAGTAGTTATAGTGATTTAGTTAGATAGTGTAAAGTGTAGATACAAGTGATTTAGATATATAGTGTAATCAGTAGATATAGTGATTTAGATATATAGTGTAGTCAGTAGATATAGTGATTTAGATATATAGTGTAGTCAGTAGATATAGTGATGTAGATATATAGTGTAATCAGTAGATATAGTGATTTAGATATATAGTGTAGTCAGTAGATATAGTGATTGAGATATATAGTGTAAAGTGTAGATACAAGTGATTTGGATATATAGTGTAATCAGTAGATATAGTGATTTAGATATATAGTGTAGTCAGTAGATATAGTGATTGAGATATATAGTGTAAAGTGTAGATACAAGTGATTTAGATATATAGTATAGTCAGTAGATATAGAGATTGAGATATATAGTGTAATCAGTAGATATAGTGATTTAGATATCGTACCCGTGTATATATCAAGGGCCCTCCATTGGTTCATTAGCAAAAACAGCGCCATGTTTTTGTACCAATTTGTACCCAAATAACACCATGTTCTCTAAGAAGGGCGATGCCATAAACGGTTCAGAAATTCGGTTGCGTAGGTGAATCGAAATAGCAACTTTTTACCAAAGAGGACACTATATATTTAGCTTTTCTGTCCATCGATTCCTATTTTTCGTGAGTTGATTCAAATAGTTTGCTTTGTAGCATTCACAAAACCCCACTGCGGTGTGTGCTTTAATCAATTAGTCTGTTATATGCATATAGTGCATGTGATTTATATAGAGGTTCTGGGATATAGAATATGAAACCCTGCCCGTGCCAAGATTAGGTGCCTGGACACTCGGCCCGAACCGAAATCACGCCCTCGGTGATGAACTTACGAGAACACATACTGATTCATACTAGTATGGCATGACTAGATATGGTCGGATGCTGCAATAATGAATGAAATGAATACAGAACGTTGTCTGCAGCTTATGATTATATGCTGCTGTAGTTTAGTGTGTAATTTAGATAAATAGTTTGTGGTTTAGATAAAGAGCATGCGATATAGATATGGTGTAAGCGGTATTGGTAAAGAGTCTGTAGTATTAGAGTCAGTGATTTCAATATATAATTTGTGATTTCGATATAAAATGTGAAATTAGACAAAGTATATATTACTCACTATTCAAATGCGTCGGTGATTTGCTAGATGTCTTGATTTTCCTCCATTTCGCACGCCGATTTTGAAACCATACCTGAAGATGAGAGTTCATGCCAATATAAGTTACTTCACCGAGGCGGATTTAGAGGTGGCATCCGCCCCTAAGATCACCTCACAGGGGAGATTTTAAAAAGATGAAATCAACCCCCAGTTTAATTACCCAGAAAAGATTTATAAGTGGCATTCGTCCCTCAGGTTACTACTTCATAGGAGAGGATTTAGAGAAGATAGTACCTGCCACTCAGGTTACTTTACATGGGTCGGGTTAGTACCTGCCACTCGGGTTACTTTCCATGGGTCGGGTTTAGAGGTGGTACATACTCCGGGTTAATACTCGAATTTATAGGTAATCCAGTCAAGACAGGTACTCGCCCCTCGGGTTATTTCCAATGGGAGGATTTATAGGTGACACCCGCCCTCAGGTTACTTCCCAGGTAATGAAAGTAGAGGTGGCAAACGACCCTAGGATTAGTCCTCAGTGGCAGATTTAGAGGAGGTGGCACGTGGCCATCTGGCTATTTCCCAGAAGAGAATTTATATGATGTGGCACGTCGTCATGACCCTCTGGTTACTTCAATCACGTTTCACCAGTACTATTATAGGATACAAATACAGTGTGCTAGGGAATGTTTCGTGTGTGATACCCCCGTGAAATAGTATTATATGGCACTAGTACCTGCACCCTCGACTCTGTCAAATCAATTCGCAATGCTAATTCTTGTCTCGCCATAGTATCCGGGTATGGTGCCTTCTCGAAAGCTCTCTCCATCTGTTCCAGCTGGTAAGCACTAAATTTTGTCCTGCAAAGCGTTACGAAGACGTTATTAGAAATGATATGTACTTCAGCAGCCGTGTACTGTAGATCTGAGAGATGGTGTGTGTACTCTTATTTGTTATGTGCCGTAGATCTGGGAAATGGTGTGTGTACTCTGCTTGTTATATGCCGTAGATCTGAGAAATGGTGTGTGTACTCTATTTGTTATGTGCCGTAGATCTGGGAGATGGTGTGTGTACTCTTATTTGTTATGTGCCGTAGATCTGGGAAATGGTGTGTGTACTCTGCTTGTTATATGCCGTAGATCTGGGAAATGGTGTGTGTACTCTATTTGTTATGTGCCGTAGATCTGGGAGATGGTGTGTGTACTCTTATTTGTTATGTGCCGTAGATCTGGGAAATGGTGTGTGTACTCTTATTTGTTATGTGCCGTAGATCTGGGAAATGGTGTGTGTACTCTTATTTGTTATGTGCCGTAGATCTGAGAAATGGTGTGTGTACTCTGCTTGTTATATGCCGTAGATCTGAGAAATGGTGTGTGTACTATATCTGTTATGTGCCGTAGATCTGGGAAATGGTGTGTGTACTCTATCTATTATGTT